GATATTATAATCCAAAATCAAAACTGGAAAAGCAGGAGAAATATGTGTATGTGGATAAACTACAACAACTATCAATCATTTTTTGTTTCTAAATAAAATGTACTTAGCACTGAATGTTACCTGCTTAAGGATGAATATTGTAACCTTAGTCATCATTGGATTCCCAGGATTTAGCACAGGGCATAACAAAAAGTAGAAATGTAAGACATTTAAAAAACTAAAATGAATTCACGAATCAATGACAGTTTCCTTTCTAGTAAATTACAGAATTTTTTGGTAGGATTAATTATTATTATGGCAAAATTAATCCTTGATATACATGATGGTTTTCTGAATAAAATATAATTTTTAAATTAATTAATTAACATTTAATTATTGATATATATTTGATTATCAATATGCTTATTTTTATATCATGATATTTTTTCTATTTCTGTAAAATATCCCCTTTTATTATAAATGGGAGACTATCCAAGGGAAGAAGCTGGAAGAGGAAAGAAAAGGAAAGCAGCAAGAGTCTCTCAGAGATTGACCCCAGGGAACTTGGTGCCTCATGGGAAGGAGAGATGGAAAGGCTTCTCCACTCCCCTTCACCCACTGACAATTTGCTGACCGCCAAACTGTTGCAGAGTGACTCTGCCTGCCCCCCAAACCCAGGGCTATACAATTGGTGGTTTAGAACCAGGTGGCCATGCAGACAGCCTGCACTCCCATTAGACATGACCTGAGATGGTGGGTTCCATACTGGCTGTGCACCTGTGGTGAGACGTTACCCTACCTGAGGATTCCCTCCTTGCACCATCCCACCACCAGAAACTTCCCCAAACTCACTCTGGTTTTGGCAAGCACAGAGAGCGTACACTGGCAAAAAGGGTTTTTATGCTTTTTGTGACGGTTCCACCCCCTGCTGAAAGCAAGCCTGTGCTGCTCAGGATTTCGTGCAGAGAAGGGCCCAGCTGCCCTCCCTATACAGAGTGACAGTGCCCCAGCAACAGAGGAGAGACAAGTCTTGAACCTGCCTGCTCTGGTCTCCAGGAACAGGCTCTGCCCCAAGCCCATTTAAGTGGTAGTCATCAGGGGGTATATCATGGCCCACAGCCACCCTATGGCCAGGGATCAAAAGACAAAGTCTTGACGAACTCAAGAGTCCTCTGCCTTGCAACAGGGGCCCGGCAGGGGAACAGAACACATTCCTGCCAGTTCAGGAAGAAGAGTTGGTACACCTCCTGCCCCTTTCCTGAAGACCTCAGTGCACACCAACACAATGTGTTCCTGCCACCTCCCTGTCAGGGTGGGGCTTCTGCTTGACAGCAGCATACCTGAGAGAGAGCCCGCTCTTACTCTTAAGCATCATCTGCAAAACTGCAGCCTGAACTTCACCACCACATAAAAAACCTGCTACCAGAAAAGCTTAGTGCTAGTCCTCGAGATAAGCATCTGAGACCTTTGCTCCCTCAGCCCTGCAGGAGATAGATAATGTGTCAGTGCTTGCCTTCATCATATCACTACAACCAGCAGAATATGAGAAAGCCACTGCACAGAAGTTATCCACTACCGAGGAACCTATCCAGAACTGTGGCTTCCTGGAAGCACCCAGAAATGAAACCAAAGGATCATACACAGAAAAAAATCACAGTCACGCCCTGAAGGGAAAAAAACAAGTTGGAAAAAGTAAAAGTCTCATCCAAACAATAGCAATTTCAAAAATAAGAAATGACAGCTCCCTCAGATGAGAATCAGTGCAAGAACTCTGACAGTACAAAAAGCCAGAATGCCGTGCCTCCTCCAAAAAAATCACACTCGCTCTCTACCAATGGATCCTAACCAGATTGAAGTGGCTAAAAGGACAAAGAATTAAAATATTGATTTTAAGGAAATTCAATGAGATGCAAGGAAAAGTTGAAATCAAATACAAAGAAATCAGAAAAAAATAGGATATAAAAGATGAGATAGCGATAGTAAGAAAAAAATAGATCTGCTGAAATTGAAAAACTCACTAAAGGAGTTTCACAATTTCTTCAGCTAGAAGCGTTAACAGTGGACTACATCAAAGAGAAGAAAGAATTTCAGAACTTGAAGATCAGTTTTTTAAATTAATCCAGCCAGATAAAAATGAAAAGAACTTAAAGAAAATGAACAAAGGCTTCACGAAATATGAGATTATGTAAAGTGACCAAACCTACAGCTTATTTGCATTCCTGAGAAAAAAGAAAAAGCAAGCAAGTTAGAAAACATATCTGTGGGAATAATTCAGGAAAATTTTCATAATCTTGTAAGAGAGGTTGTCCCCCAGCTTTAAGAAATTTAGAAAGTACCTACAAAATACTATAAAAGATGACTGCCTCCAAGAAACAGATTCATCAGATTAATCAAGGTCAACATGAAAGAAAAAATATTTAAAAGCAGCTGCACAGATCATTGAGGTAGAAAACTAACACAGAAACTCGGTATTTAAACTGGACTCAACTAAATGGACTCCAACCAACATCTAGAGAAGACTCCACTCAACCACAGAATATACATTCTTCTCATCTGAACACAGATATTCTCTAAAGTTGACCAAATGGTCATAAAACAAGTCTCAATAAATTTTAAACAAATTGAAATCATATCCAGCATCTTCTCAGCCCACAATGAAGTGAAACTAGAAATCAAAACCACAGAAGAACATGGAAACTAAACAAATTGCTCCTGAATGACTTTTGGGTAATCAACAAAATAAAGGCAGAAAATTTTTAAATATTGAAACAAATAAAAATAAAGACACAACTTACCAAAACCTCTGGGATACAGCAAAAGAAGTGTTAAAACAAAAGTTTATAGTACTAAATGCCTATATCAAAACAATATGAAGATCTCAAATTAACAACAGCATTCTCCCTAGGAAGTGGAACAAGACAAGGACATCCACTCTCACCATGCCTACTCGACATACTATTGGAAGTCTTATGCAGAGCAGCTAGGCAAAACAAAGAAGCAAAAGAAGTCAAATTATCTCTGTTGGCTGATGACATGATCCTAAAACCCCAAAAATAACTAGAAAACCCTAAAGAGTCCTCTAAATGTCTCCTAGAGCTGAAAACCAGTTACAGTGTTTCAAGATACAAATCAATGTACAAAAATCAATAGCCTTTCTATACAAAATTAACCTAAATTACAAAGAACTTATGTCGAAAAGAATTTTGTTCTTTTCCTCACGTGTACAATTTATTCCCCTTCTAAAACGAGAAAGCTGCTGAAGGAAAAACTTCATTTCTCAACTCATAGGCTCGATGTTTCTTCAATAAGAACTTCCACAGTGGAATGTAGTTAGTTGCCCCAAGGTGAAAACAAACCATTGACAAGCAGTTGTTGAAAAGAGTTGCTTTATGTGATTTTCTATCTATAAAGAGAAGAGCACAAGAAAGGTGTTACCCATCCTGATTCTATCTCATTGTATTCCTCCAACAGAAAGACAGACAGCAACACGAAAGGGAAAGGAGTTCGCTCTCAGTAGCTTTCCATTCTGCTGGAAAAGAAATTGCTGAAATCCCTCCCTCTGTTTGGTTTGCCCTTTCTTGCTGAGTTTGTGGAGGGGTGGTCATTACTACAGTCCCCTAGTGCCCCCTGTCGTTCATATTGGGAAACTAACCAGGCAGCATGAACTGCTAAGCTTGGTTCCTTATCTTAAAACACCCCTTACACTTTTTGGATCCATCTCAAAAATTCAAAATTGTGATTCCACCTGTAATTCACTGAGGGGCCATTTATAGTGAACTTATATTATTATCTCATAAACTTACCGAATGTGAGGGAGGGTCCTTAGAATATATTCGGCCAATTGTGTGTTTTGTTCTGTTCTGTTTTGTTTTACCAAGTATGGGATTCGTTATGAGAGATATTTGCTGTTATTCTGTGAAACCAAAGAGGGTTAGGAAATGCCGGGTTAAATAAGAATTAAGTAACATTAAATAAGGAGCTTCTTTCCTGCTGGCCTTCTCAGAGCATTTAATATGGACCATGTATCTCCCAAGGGAAATGCAATTTCCCATTCATGCTTGACAACAGAACTACTTTTCTCATGAATTTCTTGCAGGGCCAATATTCCAGGGAACACACTTGGGAAGTGCTAATCAAGTCCAAATGAATTGTTCTACAAGTCTGGAAACTGAGTCCCAGGGAGGTGCCAGTGACTGGGAGGTAGTAGACATTGCAGGGCCCCTGTCAGGAGGCTCCCAGGCCACTTCCTCACCAGGATCCCTCCCATTCACTGGAGTTGACCTTTAGTATTTCTGTATTCACAAAGGGTGTTTACTTGTGGAATGGGGAATGATGTTGCTTTTAGCCAAGAATATTGGGAAAGTTCAGTAAACCTCTTTCAAGAATGCTCTGACTCCTTGGGGAGGAGAATTTGCTTCCGGTATTTTCAATTCCATTTCTTTCTTTCTTTTGTGAAGAACTTCATTGCTTTCTAAAAATCTACTATTCAACAAATTTGCAGTAAGCACCTACTATGCACATATACAAAGGAGGTCAAGATAATGCACCACTTTGGGTAAGAGCAAATATTTGGGGGTCAAGTTCTGGTTCTGCCACATTCTGACTGTACAACTGGACAAGTTGCTTATTATCTTCTAAGATCTAGACTCCCCATCTATAAAGTGGGGATAATAATACCTTCTCCAGAGGAATGGGCTGAGGATTCCATTAGATAATACGTGTTAAATGGCCAGCACAGTGCAGGACATATAAGTACTCAATAAATGTTCCCCACTGCTATTATTGTTGTTGTTAGGGCCATTGAAGCCTGGTCGCCATCCTCAGGGACTCAGCTCAGCTAGAGAAAGAAGACAAACACGCTCAGAAACTTTCAGTAGCAATCTAAGGGAACAGATGAGAGACTGCAACTAGGTTTCACAGAACTCCAGTCAGCCTTTAGCGGTTGCCTCCAGAGCTGTGTTGGGAAGAATTCTGAGGGCTTTGCCAGCTACAGAAGGAAGGAGCCCCAACATCAATTAGTGATGTCGGTCACGGATGTGTGGAGTGTGGGTATGTGGTTATATGACATGTCTTTGCCATTCTTAGAAATGCCAGGTGTGGCGGATCAGATGGAACAGTCGTTTCTGGAGGAGGTAAGAAGTTGGACCTCGAGGATGCATAGGACGTGAATGGAAAACATAAAAAGAAAGGAGGAACTCTTTGACACTCAGAACTTTGCAGCATATGCCAAGGATAAAACCAGCATGGGCTCTTTGAGTGGCAGTAAATAAACCAGGCTGTCTAGAGTAGGTCTTGATGCTAAAGATTAGCTCTATAAATACGGTAACCAGCAATGTCAAGCTGGTTGCTCAACATCAAACAAGCTGTCCTATTGTTTCCATAAATTCCCTCATATGCTATGTGCCCTGGTTTGAGGTTCAGAAAACATGAACACCATTTGGTCTCTATAACCATTTTCTCTACCACAGAACTGTGCAAAGGCTCTTTCCCATTGCCCTTGCTCACAGAGACCGTATTTTGGTGTGAAGTCCATGGCTTCTGTTCAGAGAGCCCATCACCCTTTGTGCACTTTGGAAAGTCTTTATAAATGTTTTTCATTATACACAGATGGCATTGCAGCCCCAGGCATCTGAGCTTCTCAACAAATGCACATATGGAAAAAATCTGTTGAAAATGAAAAGCAAAGACCCAAGCTACCAGAAACTAGCATCCAGGTACGATACATGCCTCCTCTGTATCTGGTAATACACTAGCCCTGGGTATGGGGGGAGGCAAAAAGGTGCTTATTAAAACCACAAATGAGGATGAGGAGTTTTGAAAACTTTCTGTTTGCAGAATTAGCTTCATTCTTCACTCCAGCTGGAGATGAGCCTTCTCTGTGTAGCGAAAAGCATGGGGGCAATAGCTCCTAAATTTACTGGTACATCCACATAGCTTTGGTCACTAGAAAGACACTATCTTAACATTGTCTCTAGTTCCAAGTCAAAAAGTCCCAAAAAAGAACTCACTGAAGCAGTTTGCATCAGCTCCTATGGCGGACACAAAGATGGGGTTGGGTGAGGGAAACTTCCGGAAGGAGAGGAGTGAGGTGCTGGGTAAACAATATAAGATGCCTGCTGAATCTTCCCTTTATCTACCTTTTCATGCCGACTCAACCAGGCTATCAATCAACAATTTCACTCATTTAATAACCACCTATTTGCTTTTTGAGCATCTGCGACATGCCAGGTGCTGTGCTAGATTTCAGGCGTGCAAGGAAGAACATGACTCTTTTTAAATTATGTGCCTCTTAGAGTGCTAGGCATTCAGAGAGACAGAGGAATATCAAATGTAACGGGTTTAGGATGTCTAGGAACTCACCATATAACTGGAGAAAGGAGACTATGTATCGCAAGAATATTAAGTGGTAACCTGTGTGCTGTGGGTGATGAGGGTAAGAGAACTTCAAGGTAACTGAGGTCAGCAAGGCCTGGAGCATTCAGAAGAGAAGTGCCTTGGAGTGATGCTTCTGTGAGGTCTTTAAAGGGCGAGGAAGCTTTGTTTATGATACATGTGTTTAAAGTGCGGTATTTTCACAACATCACACTAAGTGAGGGCCTCTGCATCTGGAGGCGTTCTGGAATGCGGCCGTCAGCCAGTGGCCCTGTTCCTTTCTCAGAGACAGGACTACCACCCACAGCTCTTCTGATAGCCTTGTTTTTAATTGCCATGGCCTGTTGGATAAAAGCCTCTGAGTTTGATGCAAGTTCAAAATAATGTCCTTCAAGGATTAACTCATTTTGGGGGGCTTGAGGAGCTACAACAAGTAACATCTGGTATAGCCTGCAGAGGGATGTTTTTTCACCCAAGGAGTTTCAAGTTTCAACATGTGAGCCATCCTGCTGAATAACATCATCGACGGGAAACAGCACGCAGAGAACTTGTCTTGTAATGAGAGCTCTGTGCAACACCCCACGGTCATGTTTTGCATGGACTGTAATTGATGGTGCAAACTGTAACAGGTTCTTATCACTTTGTTTCCTGCCAAAGTGACTGAGTTCCACACTTATGGGGTTGAAATCCCCTTGTGCATTTCTTCTGGGGCCATCCTAGTGCCGTTAGTAACACCCTCCCTGTGTTCAGAAGGCCCAGATTTTAATGCCTTCATAGGGAGTCTCTTGGTCAGTTCTTCTTATCACATCCCATCAGTCACTTCGCTGTCTCCCCAGGTCTCCTGGAAAATTCTTGGAATCATCTCCTTGCTTTTGGTAAATGCTGGCTTTGTTCCTCCATGCTGTGCTTTCTGTATTCCCAGCTATGCCCTTTGCATCCCTTGGGCCAGTCCCTCTACCCCTGGAATTCTCTCTGAGGTCAAGATTTTGCAATGTTCTTAAACGTGAAACACTGTAATAGCTAGTTGTTGAGTGTTATGTGTCACGGATGTATTATATATAGGGATACTATTATCACCCATGACTTCCCAGTGAGAAAAATGAGGCTCAGAGTTTGAATTGCCCAAAAACAAGACATAAACCCACATCTGTCTCACACTTAAGACTGTGCTCTTTTTAAGGGATAAATATCGGGACCCAAAGAATGGTCATGGGAGTCACAAGTTCCAAGCAGAGGAGGGAGAAGGAAAGAGAAATGAGGACAACTCCGAGAGTGGCAGCTCTGAACTCAAAGGAGGAGGATTTTGAGACATGGTCAACTGTGACTAAAGCGGAACAGGTTTGAGAATATCGACCCCACTGGCATAAAGACACCTACTGGCAAATCTTCTCAAAAAAGATTTCAGTAATGGGTCTGGAAGAGGTTATTAGGAAGAGAGTAAAGAGATACAGATGGCAAATAAAAGGAGGGGCAGCCACACAGATGGTGAAGGAAGGAGAGTTGTAGTGTATCCATGAAGTTAGAAACTCTCGGGCAGGTCCCATAGACTGAGTTTTAACAAGCCCTCCAGGTGATTCTGATGCACACTAAAGTTTGCAAGCTGCTGCTACAGAACCGTGTTTCTCAGCTTTGGCTGCACATTGAAATCACCTGAAATAATAATGCTTCTGTATGACCTCCTGAAATTCTGTTTTAATTGCTCCAGGCAACAGGGCTTTAAAAAGGTGATTCTAATAGGCAGCCAGAGTTGAACATTCCTGCTGTACAGGGAGAAGACAGTTGAGGGTATGCAGTCAAAGAGGAGGTGGAAGGGATATAACAGCAACCGCACCTCTGGCTGTGCCAGGCAATGTGCTAAGGCTGGGCATTTCAAGCTTTAATGGCATAAGGATCACCAACAAGCTTCCAGGTGCTTTACAGGCATCGCTTCACGGAATCCTCATAACAAGTCTACAAGGCAGGTGCCAGCATTATTCCCACTTCACAGATAAGGATATTGAGGCACCAAGATGTTATCTGACTTGACTGAGGCAAGACAGAAAGGAAATGGTAGGTCTTGAAAATTAGATCTTGACTCCAAAGTACTTATTATTTTTAAAAATTATGGTAAAATATATATATATATAATTTGCCACTTTAATTATTTTGAAGTATTTACAATTTTGTGGCATTCATAATGTTGTACAACTACCCATTTCCAGGATGTTTTCACCACCCCAAACAGAAACCCTTATTCATTAAGCCATAACTCCCCATCTCCCCCTGTTCCCAACCCCAGGTACCCTCTGTTCTGTTCTTTGTCTTTATGAATCAAAGTACTCATTCTTAGTCACTGTTTCAGGATCAGCTCGAAGACGAGATGGAGGTATCAAATTTGATCAAACTTTTTCCTTCAATTGACAGCATCTCTGAGTTAAATGAGGCCACCATCAGCAATTTCCGTTCCCAAAATAGGGAACGACTTGTAACTTCCCGCAAACAGCACATCCTCTTTTGCCTGCGTGCCAAAGCACATGCCAATCCCTCCAGGACATGTGCCTTTTCCCACCTTGCCTTCATTTAGCAAACTCCATCTCCTCCAAGTCTCTTGCCAGGCATGACTACTCCTGGGGATCTAAATCAAGTTCTTCAACTAGTGTGGTCCCATAGAGGAGGACTTCAGAAACTGACATTCACTCTGATCACCTAGGCATCTTGTTAAAATGCAGATTCGAATTTACTGAGCCTGGCTTGGGGCCCTAAGATTCTGGTTTTTTTTCTTCTTTTCTTTTCTTTCTTTCTTTGTTTCTTTCTTCCTTTCTTCTTTCTTTCTTTCTTTCTTCTTTCTGTCTATCTCTCCTTCCTTCCTTCCTTCTCTCCCCCCCTCCCTCCCTCCTTCCTTTCCTCCTTTCTTCCTTTCTCATTCACTTTGTCACCCAGGCTGGAGCAAAGTGTGCAATCATAGCTCACTGAAACCTCAGACTCCTGGGCTCAAGCCATCCATCCTCCTGCCTTAACTCTCCAGTAACCAGGACTACAGATGTGTGCCACCATGTCAGCTAATTTAAAGCTTTTCTTTTCTTTTATGGAGATGAAGTCTTATTATGTTTCCCAGCTGGCCTCAATCTCTTGGCCTGAAGTGATCCTCCTGCCTCAGCCTCCCAAAGCCAAGATTACAGATTTGAGCCACTGCCCTAGGACTTAGACTCTGCATTTCAACAGAGCTCCCAAGTGATGCTTATGCTGCTAGTCCCTGGACCACACCCTGAGTAGTGAGACCATAGGTTGCAGTGCTTCACCGTGACACATATTGCTACAGCATTCCCTTGATTATTTCTCTACTCCACTATAAATATCTTGAGGGCAAACACCCGTCTTATTATATTCCTGGAGCCTCACATTGTACCACCCACAGTGACAATAAATGTGGATGGAGGAATAGATAAATGAACAAACAGGCTGGAAGGCTAGAAGGAACCGAATCTGTGAGTAGCCTCATAAGCCACACTAAGGAATTTGAAATGCATCATGAAATTCTGGGCAGACACTGAGGGGTTTGAAAAGGGGGCTATATTAAATGTTTATGTGCAGTGTGTAAGATACGTTGGAAAGGACCAAGATTGAAGTCAAGGAAACAGTAGCAAGTTACTGCACTGGTCTAAGCAAATAATTTTGAAGGGCTGAACTAAGGCAGTGATAGTGGGAAGGATGCAGTGGGAAGAGGAGTCAAGACTGTACAGATGGGTTTACTTTACAGCTCCATTTGCTTCAGACAGGGTATAATAATTATACCCTGGGTATAATTATTAATAGTGTCCCATTTGCTCCCCAAAATGCCCTACTTTGGATGATAATTATCTATTCATACTGTACATAGGAGACTTTTTTTTTTTGAGATGGAGTCTTACTCACTCTGTCCCCCAGGTTGGAGTGCAGTGGTGCTATCTCGGCTCACTGCAACCTCTGCCTCCCAGGTTCAAGCGATTCTCCTGCCTCAGCCTCCTGAGTAGTTGGGATTAGAGGTGTGTGCCACCACGCCCAGCTAATTTTTTGTATTTTTAGTAGAGACAAGGTTTTACTATGTTGACCTGGCTGGTCTTGAACTCCTGACCTCAAGCGATCCACTGACCTGGGCCTCCCAAAGTGCTTGAATTACAAGCATGAGCCACCATGCACAGCCAGGAGACAATGTTAATAGAACATGGGGTGTGGGCTTTGAGCAAAGTGAGAAGTCTAGGATAACACTCACGTTTCTGCCCTGGATGACCCAACAGATGGTAACAGTGTTGACCAAGCTAGGCAGTCCAGGACATCAAGCAGTAGAAGTTACTTTAAAATAAAAGTATTTAAGTTAAGGAGCCACTGCAAAGTATTAAGTAAGTTATGGTACACAGCATGACAAATTTCAAAAGAGGCACCGATGGCTGAAGTTTGGAACACTGATGGAAGGTATCACCAAGCGAAACATCCTCCCTCCCCAGCTCTCTGAGTCAAATTAGTCCCAGAGCAGTACCACATTAGGAAACCTTCCCTATGTGCTATTCAGACCAACTGCAGATGGGGTGTCACAAAGGCCCACGAAGTCCAAGTTTTGTTTCTCAGTCCTTATTCTCTTCCCTTCAAGTCATTGCTGTGAACGCTCCAGACGACAGGATCACAGTTGGCTGTGGTCACTGAGGTCAGTATAAAGGTATACCAAGTCAAGGCTAGATTGAGTCTGAAGCCCACGTCCCTTGGTTCAACTGTCCTGAGTCAAAGGTCAGTAACACCAAAATATTCTATCACGTTTATAACCCTCATGACTCAATATTCTTACTAATCTCTACTCATGTGTGCCAACTCCTCAGCTTTTTTCTCCCACCCATAACATGTCAACAAGTGGGTAATTATTTAATAAATCTCAGAACATACCTTTGCTTCTTTTGGCCGGAGACCTGGAGTTTTCCAAGTTTCAGTTTCAAGGTGGCTGTTACTTAAGGGTCCAAATGCAGTCAAGCGGAAGAATAAATTCACCCACTACAGCCTTTCAGGGGAACTTTAAAACAAAACGTAGCTTTTCAAGTATTAAAAGGAAGTGAAAGACTGAACTAAGCTGAGTATTCATTTTAATACACATGTTAAAGGTTATATTAGCAGCCGTCAAAGTGCTGGCCAATTCTAACCACATCACTCTTCACCTTAAATCAGATGTGTTAGGTGGTACCCGGAACCTGCCACTCTGGGCTGACCCTGAGTAAAAGGATTGTTAAAGAAGGGGAAGTTGGTCTTCCAGGCTTTCCTGTCACTCCTGGGGATATCAGCCTGATGAGCAAGGGAGGGCAAGAGAGCTGGAACCCAGGAGCCTAAGTCCTTGCCGCTTCTTCCTGCCGCTTCTTCCTGCCGCTTCAGGTCCGAGAAAATGGATTTGAGTGCTGGTGATCTGATATCAATTCCATACACATGGCAAGACTGAGGGCGGAGGAAAACAACCCAATTCATAAATGGGCAAAGGAACTGAACAGACATTTCCCCAAAGAAGGTATTCGAATGACCACTAAGCACGGGAAAAGATGCTCAACATCACTAATTTTTAGTGTTATGGTTGCATAACAATATGAATGTATTCAAAACCACTGCACTGCACACTTAAAAATGACTCAGATGGGCCAGGCACGCTGGCTCACGCCTATAATCCCAGCACTTTGGGAGGCCGAGGTGGGTGGATCACGAGGTCAAGAGATGGAGACCATCCTGGTCAACATGGTGAAACTCCATCTTTACTAAAAATACAAAAATTAGCTGGGCTACTCAGGAGTCTGAGGCAGGAGAATTGCTTGAACCCAGAAGACGGAGGTTGCGGTGAGCCAAGATCATGCCATTGCACTCCAGCCTGGGTAACAAGAACAAAACTGCATCTCAGTTAAAAAAAAAAAATGACTCAGATGGCCAGGTGGCCAGGCGTAGTGGCTCACGCCTGTAATCCCAACACTTTGGGAGACCCAGGCAAAAGGATCGCTTGAGTCCAGGAGTCTGAGGCAAGCCTAGGCAACATAGTGAGACCTCATATCCACAAAAAATACAAAAATTAGTCGAGCACGGTGCTGCACATCTGTAGTCCCAGCTACTAGGGAGGCTGAGGTGGGAGGCTTGAGCCCAGAGGTCGAGGCTCTGGTGAGCCAAGATCACACCACTGCACTCTAGTCTGGGTGACAGAGTGGGACCCTGTCTCAAAAAAAGATAACTAAGATGATGAATTGTACATTATATTTTACCATGGTAAAATAATAATAATGGTCACCAACAGTGTTCAGAAATGATAATAAATTAAAATAACTTTTTTAAGAAGTGAGCACTCAGCCGGGTGTGGTGGTTTACGCCTGTAATCCCAGCACTTTGGGAGGCCAAGGCAGGCGGATCACGAGGTCAAGAGATCGAGACCATCCTGGCCAACATGGTGAAACTCCGTCTCTATACAAAAAAAATTAGCTGGGCGTGGTGGTGCATGCCTATAGTTCCAGCTAGTTGGGAGGCTGAGGCAGGAAAATTGCTTGAACCCGGGAGTCGGAGGTTGCAGTGAGACGAGGTCGTGCCACTGCACTCCAGCCTGGCGCCTGGTGATGGAGTGAGACTCTGCCTCAAAAAAAAAAAATAAATGAAATTTAAAAAATTAAAAGTGAGCACTAAGGACATCTTTTACCCAGCCTTGTGGTAGCCTAGATGGTCCTTTCCCTGGGCCCCACCATGACTTCTCCTTTGGATCATTTACACAGACAGAAGACAGCCCCCAGTCCCTCTTACTGCACCATCCGGAAACAAAAGATATCAGGACTTGAGAGTCCTATGAACCCACACCTCACAGCCACCAGAGCCTTAACCAAACTGAAAGCCTGCTGCACCCCTCTCTCACTGCCCAGTGGAATCCTTGGCCACTTCAGTGGTCCTCCTCAGGGGTGGTGATGGATGCAGGAGAACTGTCATGATCTGGCTGTGTCCCCACCTAAAATCTCATCTTGAATTGTAATAATCCCCACGTGTCAAAGGGGGGACCAGATGGAGATAATTGAATCATGAAAGCGGTTTCCCCCGTACTGTTCTCGTGATAGTGGGTTCACACAAAATGCCGTGGTTGCTGAGAAATATTAAGTTGTTGAGAAAAGCTGAGTGTTGCTGAGTGTATGATAGAATATATTGTTTGCTAGGAAGAACGATGGCAAGGAAAACCTAGCCGCTGCCCCACCAAGTAGAAAACTACTTGGAATATTCCAAAGTGGGAGGAAAATATATAAATATCATACACTGGTTAAAACAATTCCTTAAGACATCTGACCCTGCCCTCGTGGCTCCCTCACGGAGAATACTTTTTAGTTTTTCTGTGATCAGTGGTAAGCGGGCACCAGCTGCCTACTTGGCATATTTTGTGTTATGAGAAAATACCAAACATCTGTTTGTTGATAATAATCACCTGTTCAGAGAGAATAAATGTGTGGGTTAGAGTCTGCTCAAGGCCTTCACCCTGGAATGCTGTCAGCCCCTGAGGCTCTCAGCTCAGAAGGCTACTGGCCCTCGGACAGTCCCACTTTGTTGTTCTATCTGGGTGTCTGCCTCTCAATTTCTTCAGCGCCGCCTGGGTGGGGGTCTCTATGGCTGAGCTGCTCTTGGTAGGTGGTTTTATAAGGGGCATCCCCCTTTGCTCAGCTCTCATTCTCTCTCCTGCCACCATGTGAAGAAGGACGTGTTTGCTTCCCCTTTCGCCATGATTGTAAGTTTCCTGAGGTCTCCCTAATCGTGTGAAACTGTGAGCCAACTAAAGCTCTTTTTTTATATAAATTACCCAGTCTCCAGTATGTCTTTATTAGCAGCGTGATGGGACTCCATTCCCGCTGTCTGCAGCGGACCTGGCCGCCCTGCTTCCCGACCTCTCCAGCCGCCTCTTCATCAACTCCGTCTTCCATGTGGGCGCTGAGCGGCTCCAGCAGATGCTTTTCTCGGATTCGCCCTTCCTCCGGGGCTTTCTGCAGCAGTGCAAGTTCACAGATGTGACCCTGAGCCCCTGGAGTGGGGACAGCAAGTGCCACCAGCGCCGGGTGCTGACGTACACCATCCCCATCAGCAACCCGCTGGGCCCCAAGAGCGCCTCTGTGGTGGAGACACAGACGCTGTTCCGGCGCGGCCCCAGGCTGGCGGGTGTGTGGTGGACTCCGAGGTGCTGACGCAGGGCATCCCCTACCAGGACTACTTCTACACTGCCCACCGCTACTGCATCCTGGGTCTGGCCCGGAACAAGGCGAGGCTCCGAGTGTCCTCTGAGATCCGCTACCGAAAGCAGCCGTGGAGCCTGGTGAAGTCGCTCATTGAGAAGAACTCGTGGCGTGGCATTGAAGACTATTTCCACCATCTGGAGCGAGAGCTCGCCAAGGCTGAGAAGTTGTCACTGGAGGAAGGCGGGAAGGATGCCGGGGCTTGCTATCTGGGCTGCGGCGGCGGAAGGGGCCCCTGAGCTGGCGGGATCACGGGGACGGGCCGCAGCACGCAGACCCCGACCCCTGCGCCCAGGCCGGCATGCACACCTCGGGCTCCCTCAGCTCCGGCTTCTCCGAGCCGTCTGTAGACCAGGGCCCCGGAGCAGGCATCCCTAGTGCCCTGGTTCTCATCAGCATTGTCCTTATCATCCTCATTGCCCTCAACGTCCTGCTCTTCCACCACCTCTGGTCCCTGGAGAGGACGGCCCACACCTTTGAGTCCTGGCACAGCCTGGCCCTGGCCAAGGGCACGATCCCCCAGACGGTCACAGAGTGGGCAGAGATCCTGGCGCTCCAGAAGCAGTTCCACAGCGTGAAGGTGCACAAGTGGAGGCAGATCCTGAGTGGAGCTCCTGGACGAGATGAAGTTCTCGCTGGAAAAGCTTCACCGAGGCATCACAGTCTCAGACCCTCCGTTCGACGCCCAGCCCCGGCCCAATGACAGCTTCTCCTGAGGACCCTGGTCACGCAGCTGTTCCCCCACGTGGACAGATGGACATACAGAGCCTTGGCGGCCACTGCTGGAACAGTGTGAGCACCAGGCATCTCCCGCCCGCCCCTCCTGACGGCCTGACGGGGGCTGCGCAGACATGGGGGCCATGGAACTGAGATGCACTTTATCCCAGGGAGCTGGCCTGGCCTCAGGCAGGCCCCCCACTAACTTATTTCACCTGGCTGAGGTTGTGGGGGGCGCCTTCTGGGGTGCACGATTCCCTCAGCTCTGGGTTTAATGTATTATATTTATTTGGGGCCAACAGTTCCCCAATAAAGGGTCAGAAGTGAAAAAAAATGCATACAAGAACTGATCCCCATTTCCCACCAAAGATCAGATGCATCATACAAGCCCTCTCTTACTGTCTCTACTGATTCCCACTACTTATCACCTGCCCCCCACCAGTCTTAGATGCCCAGATTTCAGCCAGGACCTGCCCTTTTGAAGTGGCAATCCGAATATTCACCCATTTTTCTAACTTTCCAGTTTAAGGGTTTCACCTCTCAGGGCCTTATGTAACCCTAGAAAAACTGACAAATAAATTCATATTTCTAAGACAGTGACTGGGAATCACACTGTCAGCATGGCAAAGGTTGACCATAGGAGTCACAGTCCTGGGTTTCATCCTAGCCCCATCATTTGGTATCCGGTTACAACTATGCTACATCTTAATTTTCTCATTAATAAAATAGGGCTAACTATGAGGAAATCCCCTCCTCACAGTGTCTGTGATACAGGAAATAATCAGTATTTCCTGTATCACAGGAAGTGATTATGCAAGCCAATAAAGAAATATCCTTAGTTTTAAAGTGAAAGTCCCTGAATACCTGGTACTGAAAAAATTATGATGCCTCCCCATAGGTAATTGCAAATAAGATTTTATTTTTTCCAGATGACATAAAGGGTACATTTAGGTAAAATTAAAGCTGATTATTTCCAAGTCAATTTTTAAGTTTCTCAAAGCTGAAGTTTCTTTCCCCTCTCTCTCCCTTTTTTTTGTTCTCGCTCTCTCTGACTACTGCATGGCTGGTGTCCCCTATTTATTAAGTCATTTGGCACTGACCATCAAGCTATGAAGTCAGGGAGGGTCAAAAGATTGGTGGGTTGCCCCTGGTGTTCTGTCCTGGGTCAGTTTGCCAGAAAGGAGAATATTGTGCTTGTTTGTTGATATCTACAAAAATACAATCCTCTCAAAAGATTGGGAAGAAGTATAAGACAAGTAACAGGACTTCAGAGAGATACCAAAAAGGGAAAGTGAGTACAAAATACAAGAGGCATTGACAAAAATTTGCAACTAATTGCAAAAGTTTGCAAGATCGTAATGAAAAACCGAAGTGAACCGGAGACACTCTTGCCCATAAAAAGAAGAGAAGACATGTCGGGGTTGGGGAAGAGGCAGAAGGCAGGAGAGTTCTGCTGTCAGCAGGAAGACAGCACACAGCCTTGCACTCCCTGCAGTAGGTGGTTAAATAAAAGAGAGAACAGAGGGGTGTTAGTAGAAGGCCCGTGACCAAGTTGGCAGACCTCTGTCACACGCCATCTACTCCTGAATCCACATTTGCACCTGATCTACAATCATGGATGCTCTCAGTGATGACTGAGACAAAGCAAACGTGAATTCATATTCAGCATCCTCAGTTTAGGAAAAAATGTGTGTTATCAGAAAGATTCCTGGCTGGTCCGAGTGCAGTGGTGTTTACAACTAATTGATCACAACCAGTTACAGATTAAATCTCAGTCTAATTGTTACAGACAAAAATCTCACTCTATTGCCTAGAGTGGAGCAGCACGATCTCTGCTCACTGAAACCTTGCCTCACCAGGCTCAAGGGATCTTCCCCCCTCATCTCCCAAGTAGCTGAGAACACAGCTTGCACCACTATTCTTGGCTAATTTTTTAATTTTTTTTTTGTAGAGATGGGGTCTTGCTGTTACTCAGGCTGGTCTTGAACTCGTAGACTCAAGTGATATACCCGCCTCAGCCTCCCAAAGTGTTGGGATCACAGGTGTGAGCCACCGCCCCTGGCCCAGTTACAGATTTTTTTCTTTCTTCTCCAATCCCACTGTTGCAGTTGACAAAGAAAGAAGGAAGAAGGAAGGAAGGAAGGAAGGAAGGAAGGAAGGAAGGAAGGAAGGAAGGAAGGAAGGAAGGAAGGAAGGGAGGGAGGGAGGGAGGGAGGGAGGGAGGGAGGGAGGGAGGGAGGGAGGGAGGGAGGGAAGGAAGGGAGGGAGAAAGAAAAGAAAGAGAAGGAAGGACGGAAAGAAGGAAGGAAGGAAAGAAGGGAGATAAAGAAAAAAAAGGTTTCCAATAACAATATTCAAATACAAAGGTTCTAAAGGCAAGATAACATTTGCAGAATAACAGATGAAGTTCCCAACATCCCTCTCATTTGCAGAATTAACAGATGAAGTTCCCAGCATCCCCCTCATTGGAATTTCTCCTAGAGATTTCCTTGAGCATGTGTGACACGATGTATGTACACGGTCATCCACTTGTAATTGCAAAAGTTTGGAAACCATGTAATTGCTCACCAAATAGGGAACTTGTTAAATAAATGATGGTAGAGCCATACAGTGGAATTCTGTACAGGTATAAAACAAAGCAAATTAACCTTAAAAATGAGGGAGATTTCTACGTATTGATAAAGGAAACATCTCCAAGATACATTGCTAAGTCAAAAAAGTAAGGCTCAAAACGGTAGAGTATACTATATTTGGGGCAAAAATGAAAAGGGAAACAAGTTAAAATATTTGTTTTAGCTTGTATTTTCAAAAAACCTGATAAAAAGTGGATATCTAGGCCAAGCATACTGGCTCACACCTGTAATCCTAGCACTTTAGGAGGCCAAGGAGATCCCTTGAGGTCAGCAGTTTGAGACCAGCGTGGCCAACATGGTGAAATCCTGTCTCTCCACCTCTACTAATATACAAAGATTAGCTGGGCATGGTGGTGAGCGCCTGTAATCCCAGCTACTCAGGAGATTCAAGCAAAAAGAACTGCTTGAACCTAGGAAGCCTAAGTTGCAGTGAGCCGAGATTGTGCTACTGCACTCCAGCCTCGGTGACAAAGCAAGACTCTGTCTTAAAAAAAATAAAGAAAAAATAGTGGGCCAGGTGCAGTGGCTCACGCCTGTAATCCCAGCACTTTGGAAGGCTGAGATGGGTGGATCATCTGAGGTCAGGATTTCGAGACCAGCCTGGCCAACATGGTGACACCCCATCTCTATTTAAAAAAAAAAAAAAAAAAAGTGGATATCTTCAAGGAGAGAGTGAATCGAGTAAATGCAGGTAGAGAAAAGCAAAAAGGCTTTTCACTGTATACCTTTCCATATTGTTTTGAGTTTCAAATTGTGAAAATGTTACTCAAATTTTTTGAAATAAAATAAAAACAAATGGTTCAGAGGATGAAGGTTGCGAGTGGGGGCAGCTGAATTCACTTATGTAAAAATGATCTTTCGTGTGAAGGTAAGTCTGTACTGAAAAAAGAAAGCAAAAGAAAAAAATGAAATAAAAATGACTCCAGATGATAGTAGTTTACTGTATTTTCATGTTAGGGGAACCCTTGGGTGTCTGCTATCAGTCAGGACTCTTACAGGTATAATCATCTGAAATATTAACTCCAGTTTATTGAAGTTAGAGACTTTCATCAACTCATGTAACTGAGACATCCAAAGGTGGAACTGGCCTGGAAGATGGTGGGGTGCAGAGCAGTACTCATTGCTGAGGAGCTACCTAAATCACAGGCTTTCCGGGCACCCCACGCCACCCTGTCTTAAACCACCTGGCAGATTGTTGGCATTTTCTTCAGTATTTTCCAAGCATGGACTCTGGAGGTCACTGCCGCCACCAATATCAATCTGGGATCCAGCTACCCTCTGTTTTAGAAGATGAATCTGGGGCTAGTTGCAGTGGCTCACGCCTGTAATCCCAACACTTTGGGAAGCCAAGGTGGGCAGATCACCTGAGGTCAGGAGTTCAAGACCAGCCTAGCCAATATGGTGAAACCCAATCTCTACTAAAAATACAAAAAATTAGCCGGGTATGGTGGTGGGCACCTGTAATCCCAGCTACTCAGGAGGCTGAGGCAGGAGAATCATGTGAACCCGGGAGGTGGAGGTTGCAGTGAGCTGAGATCGTGCCATTGCACCCCAGCCTGGGTGACAAGAGCAAGACTCGGTCTCAAAAAAAAAAGAATATGAATCTGTTGGGAGTGACCAAGAAGAGTCAGAAGCTTCTCCTCCAGGGCTTGAGGCTGCGGTTGCTCTCTTGTGCAACAGACATGATGCAGATGCATGACATTCTGGACTGGAGAATGTGGGGCATTCAGAGCCAGACCAAGAGTATGTGTGTGGGGAGGCGGCTGGGCTTCCTGGCTTGCCAGAATCAGGCAGTGGGAGAGAATGGGATACCACTTATCTTCCTCCCACTCCCCTTTCCTCATTCCAGGCCCAAACACCAGACGAGTATGTCTCCAACTGAGTAAAAATGTGAACATGGGACAATCCACATGTGAGGGATGTGAGGAAACCCAAACACAGCACAACACTGATGCACTTAACTTGGTTTATGAAATGCAATTTCTGTGGAATCCTCTGTGTTAGTGTTAAAAAAAAAAAAAGGCCCACTTGATTAGGAATCGGGAAAACTGATTCTAAATAAGAGAAACTAAAAAAGAAAACAAGAACTTTAAAAACTATAAACATAACTTTGGAATTAACACAAGGTTTCTGTATTACCTAAATGGCTTATTTACTTTCAAAGCCGAAAAGGTCATTGGCAAGTATACTTTGGTTTACTGTGAAGCAAGTTAGGTTAGCTTTTGGGTGGGGAGGGATATGAAGGGAAAGATGTTTTAATTGCACAGTGGAATCTGCTGCTTTTGTCTGGTAGAGACCCACTGCCACCTTTTTCTTCTCAGAAACAGCTTTCAGCTACCATCAGCCCAGTAGTTTGGGTGGTGTTGACCCCTTCCTGCTCCAGGGGTGGACAGGTGACTTGGGTCTGACCAGTCAGAGCCTCAGACCTCCCCATGGCATGTGATCCGAGCCAGCCAATCGGAGACAATTCATGGGCTTGTGGTTGGAACTGTTGAGAGGTCCTTTCTTTCCACCTCTTTTTCTGGATAGGTTGTGGGTCTGGAGGTTCAAGATGCCCTCTCACTTCCACCAGGAGAAAGCCTGCCTGAGAATGAAGCCAGCTGAGAGGAGGAAAGAGAAGATGGGGTCCTAATGGCACATTTCCATCCAGCCATCCATAAAGCCAGTTCCACTCGCAAATGTCTGTTACTTGAGGCAATATAGATTCCCTTTTTCCCTTCTTGCTGGATTTCTGATCTCTTCAACTCTGAATCTTGACTGACACAAACTTCTGATGCTAATGTTTGAGCAGCTACAAAGTTGAACCAATTGCGCCCACGTGGAAGACTACCTGAATTATGAAAGCATAGCCAGGCACAGTAGATCACGCCTGTAATCTAGCACTTTGGGAGGCTGAGGTGGGTGGATCACCTGAGGTCAGGAGTTCAAGACCAGCCTGGCCATCATGATAAAAACCCATCTTTATTAAAAAAAAAAATATATATATATATATGAAAGCATAAGGATTAAATCATAATCATGCCTTTATAAGCTCCAAATGGATCTGAACCATCTCCTAGATAGTCTATTTCACAATAGTAACCAGGTGACATTTTATAATTTAACAGAAAAACAAATTACTAAAATAAGAAGATATTTCATTTTACCCTTTCAGTCATGGGTTTCAAGGAAATGCAAGTTCATTGGAATTAGAAATAATACCAAAATGTGGATAAGACCAGCTTTAGAGGTGGAATGGAATCAGCTGAATACCATTGTCTGGAGTGATTTTTGACCTTCTCAGTTTGCCAAGACAGGTGTACCATTTGGTCTAGCCCATGTAACAACTTCTGTGGTATCTGTCCAGGTTGAAGACAGTTGCCATGGATTGGTGATGCCCAAACAACTGAAATGTTTATAGCACACAAAGAAAAACAGTCAACATTACCAGGTGATACAGACCATGTGTTTATTATGAAAATAACTAGTAAACCAGAGTAAATTCCATTATATATTACAGCACTACAAACACCCTTAGTCATTCCTTCATTTGTTCATTCATTCATTCATGCATTCAGTGAGTATTTCTTAAGCACCTGCAGTGTACCAGGAGGCACTTCGTTAATTGAGGGCATTACCAAGATAAAGATTAAGGCACATACTCTGCCCTCAAGGAGCTCCCAATCTAACTGCAGAGAGATGTGAAAAGGAAGCATGAAAATCCATTGTGAGAAGTGCTGAGAACGAAAGTCGGTTTGAAGTGAGACACAACCATGTATTCATTCCACTGCGGATCCCATGGGAAAGGCACATGGCATTTCTCCTCCTCTTCAGGATAACGAAGGCTTGACACAGCTTTCATCACTTTCAGTTCCAGTGTTGCAAGGGGGATCTCCAGCATTACAATAAGTCACAGTGAACCCAGAAATGATTAGCAGTCTTTTTATTTATTTGTTTGTTTGTTTATTTATTTATTTATTTTTGAGACAGGGTCTTGCTCTGTTGCCCAAACTGGAAGACAGTGGCATGGCTCACTGCAGCCTCAACCTCCTGGGCTCAGGTGATTCTCCCACTTCAGCCTTTCAAGTAGCTGGGACTACAGGCACATGCCACCACACCTGGCTAATTTTTGTTTTTGGCTTTTTTGTAGAGATGAGATTTCACCATGTTTCCCACTCTGGTCTCAAAGTCCCAGGCTCAAGTGATCCTCCTGCCTAGACCTCCCAAAGTGCTGGGATTACAGGTGTGAGCCACCACACCCAGTCAGCATTCTTATGTTTGCTTCCAAAGGTGTTTCTCTGTCAAACTCTTCCATTCACTTAAAGAAAGTCATTTTTGATGCATCTTAAAGAAAGCATGCTTACATTTGCCTTTTATTGCCAGATTTCTCTACTTGGCCTTATAGGGCCCAAATGGCAGTGGTAGGGGTGTGGGACATGTTCCAATAACATGGGCTAACACATAGAGGGAAGGCAGCTTGTCATTGCAGAGATGCCTGACTGCCACTGAGCCTCACCCCTATACTCACCCAACAAATAGTTAATGAGGAGCTATCCCTAACTCCCTACGATGCCATGCCCTCCGAAGCTGTCTCCATGGGCTGCTCTGCTCTTGGCATGTGCCCTTGAGGGCTGATCCCACTTGACCACACATGGGTTTATGCTCTCGGGTCTTTGAAAAGAGAATTCCTGCTCTTCAGCTTTCAAGCCTAAGCCTTAACATTTCAAGGGTTACTTCTTCCTCTGGAATAGCTTGCTTTTCATTGGTTATTCATGATTTGGGTGAAAAGGTGGAGTCCGTAGTTCTTCCTTAATGCAAAGGGCCTGACTCACATTTCCTATAGTGTTGTGGGACATCCAGCCACAGGTGTGAAAAGGAGGAGCGAATAAACAGCACCCTACACCCAGAAGTTCTTCTTGACCACCCGCTTCTTGCTCTTGGGCCTTTGTTCTCTTTGCCACATTTACTGGCATGAAATGAATTTGAGATGTGAGTTTCAGTTCTGGGTCTGACTATATATCAAGTTGTGCCAGTAATAATAGAGGATGGTTCTCACCTGAGTTGCTGAAACCATTACACCTGGAATTACACCCACTATAAATGGCCAATTAGCAGCAAGAGCAAAAGATGTAGCCTCATGAGCAGGGAGAAATACGGTGGCAGAATTTCAAAACCAAGGTCTTCTGTATCCACTTAGAGCTACTGTACATGATGGCATGAAGGCCTCTCAGTAGAAGCACTTTGCTTAGCTAAAAATCAGAGTATCTTAGTGTTAATACATTAACTAAATCTTTATGATTTGGGTACATGACTGCTATAAATTGAATTTTATATATGCTCTCATAATAAAAAAATACAGTTCACTCACTAAGAATGAAATTTACAAATGAATATCTCAGTTCACTTTGTAATAAATGTACTGAACCTAAATTACTCATTTACTGTATTTCCATAAATTACATACAAATAAAAAAATAGAATCTGTACAAAAATAAGAGCTCTTCATTTTTTTTGTAACACCTTGTCTTTTCTGTATATGAATTTGTTAATATAAAAAATCTACTTAGAAAATTATAAAAACATCACTTCAATGTCACAAGGCTCTACATTCTTTAGGAAAACATCTTTAGAAATAGTACAACTTTTAGAAATTTTTATTTAAATTCAAGTCCTGCATGTGCCGCAGATGCATCCCAATAAATAGGGTGGCATCAACACCCTGTCTGTCCTCTGCAGCCCTTCTAGAAATGGTGTTCACCTTCACTGAGTGAGCTTCAATTCTTTTTTCCAATGTCACCATCGATTTCTATGGATATTTTTAAGGTAACATTCTATTTTAAAAACGAAAAGAAAAAGGTATAAAATAAGTTAACAATTTCAACATTGACAGCGATATCAGCGTTGACAATCACATTTCCAACAGCTTTGCTCCACCTCAGAAATGATCTCACTACAGTTTGTGCTATGCTTGAGTCAGGTCCTATGGAATTTTCTTGGCTTTCCATATCCTTTGAGCTAATAACTCACTTGTTTCAAAATGTAAGATTTTTCCTGTGGACAAATCTAATATAGTCCCACCTTCTCTTTGCTTTGGGAATATTTTTAAACAAGACACTTTTATTTTTTAAAAGATATATTTACTTTCTATTATTTGGATCTAGTAATAGAGACCCCCTAAAAGAAAACAACCAGGATTGCTGAAGGCGGTGGCTCACACCTGTAATCCCAGCACTTTGGGAAGCCGAGGCAGGCAGATCACGAGATCAGGAGTTCAAGACCAGCCTGGACAACATAGTAAAACCGCATCTCTACTAAAAATACAAAAAGTTAGCCAGGCATGGTGGCAGGTGCCTGTAATCCCAGTTACTCAGGAGGCTGAGGCAGGAGAATCACTTGAACCCAGGAGGTGGAGGTTGCAGTGAGCCAAGACCCTGCTATTGTACTTCATCCTGGGCAACAAAGCAAGACTCCATCTCAAAAAAGAGGGGAGGGGAGGGGAGGGAAGGGAAGGGGAGAAAAGGAAGAGGAACAAAAGGAATCGGGATATGACTATTCACGTCAATCAGCAGAGGACATATGAAAATCTCATTGTGGGGAGAGCTGTTAGAGATGCCTCCTGTTGGGGAGAAGCTAATGAATGAAGTTGCGCAATCCTTACATATTTATGTCAAACACATTAAGAATAAAAAGAAAGTGCCCTTTTTAAAAATGCAAAATGTCTTCAGTGAATTTTTACTAATCCTAATTGTCAGCAATTTAAAACGTTTGAATTGATAAACACCTACCTGGAAATCTTGGATGAACGTTAGGAAGTAGAAAATAAAACTGAAGGCCACTGTCCATTCACAGATCGCACTCACTACATGATATACATAATCCTAATGGCAATCATAAAGAAACAGAATTTAGCCTCAAAAGATTCACTTTAATGTACGTACTGAAAAAACTCCGAAGAGGTTCGAAAAAAGAAAAAAGCTGTCCAGTGAGCATAAGTCAGAACTTTGAGGATATACGGTAATCACAACCACGTTACTGAGTGTCAGGACACCTGCCCACTGAGAATGCAAAGGCAGGTTTTCCAAAGTTCTTTCTGGCTTCCACAAACTCTCGTTTTAAGATTGAGTTTATCACTTCAAAAGGTAGACTAAGGACTACCAAATGGCTGAGACTGGGAAGCAAATTTGGACTCAACAGAAGAAAGAACTTTCCATACAAGACATGACTTGGTCTCCCTTTGCTGGGAATCCCTAACTGTGAGAGCACGCTTAACAAGAGCTCTTGCCCCAATCTTTAAAAAAAAAAAAAAAAACCAAACAAAAAAACAAAAACGCTGGGCGCAGTGGCTCACGCCTGTAATCCTAGCACTTTGGGAGGCCAAGGTGGGCAGATCACCTGAGGTCAGGAGTTCAAGACAAGCCTGGCCATCATGGTAAAAGTCCATGTTTTTTTTTTTTTTTTTTTTTTAAAAAGCACCCTCGCAGTTATTCCAAAGAATGTGTGTTACCATCTAAACAACCTGACTAGCCCCCTAGGTTTCGTGTTTTCCCTGTTTATATAGAAATGTTCATTCAGAAAATAGTTCTGCTTAACCTCCTAAATACAGCTACCAAGAAGATGCTAATAACAAACAGCCACATGTTAAGTGTGTATCTTTGTGGAGGCAAGAATGACAGAATGGAGGCCTGTAATCCCAGCACCGTGTAAGGCCGAGGCGGGTGGATCACTAGGTCAGGAGTTCGAGACCAACCTGACCAACATGGTGAAACCCCGTCTCTAAAAAAAAAAAAAGAATGAGAGAATGAAGGCCAAGAAGAACAGCTTAAATCAGAAGTTCCAAACTCAGCTGCATATGGAGGCCAGAAAATTAATAATAATAAATAAAATTAATGGTTGTGAAAAGAGAGAGAAATTAGGGGGCTCACACCTCATCAGCTCAATTCCATGGGAAAATAGTACACTAGTGTTGCTTTCAGAGAGGTTTGAAAAAAAAAAACGTGTATGTGTGTGTGTGTGTGTTGTCCATCTATCTGTGTGTGTGTGTGTGTGTGTATTTGATATCTCCTGATTTTTCAGTGCCACAAACTAACTTTACAAGTGTTAGCCAAGTACAGTGGCGCACACTTGTATTGTTAGCACTTTGGAAGGCTGAGGCAGGAGGATCACTTGAGCTCAGGAGTTGGAGACCAGCCTGTGCAACATAACAAGACAAGAAAGAATTAGCTGGGCATGGTGGCCTGCACCTGCAGCCCCAGCTACTTGGGAAGCTGAAGTGGGAAGATCACTTGAGCCCAGAGGGTAGATGTTGCAGTGAACCATGATCGTGTCACTCTACTCCAGCCTGGGTGACAGAGCGAGACTCTGTCTCAAAAATAATAGTAATAATAAAATAAAAATAAATAAAATTCTCAGTCAAAAATGCACGTCTGCATTCTGACATTAGCTGACATGCAAATGAGGCCTGGGGACTGTCAGCATGCCTGTGTGATTTCCTGCTTCACTTTCTGCTCTGCTGTAGGCTAGAAGGGCGAGGAAACGTGCTGGATCACAGGGCAGTTCTTCTTTTTTTCTTCTTTTTTTTTTCTGAGGCAGAGTCTCGGTCTGTCACCCAGGCTGGAGTGCAATGGCATGACCTTGGCTCACTGCAACCTCCGCCTCCTAGGTTCAAGTGATTCTCCTGCCTCAGCTTCCTGAGTAGCAGGGATTACAGGCGCCCAACCATACACAGCTCATTTTTGTATTTTTAGTAGGGTTTTGCCATGTTGGTCAGGCTGCACAGGGCAATGCCATGGTGACAGCTGTTTTCTTTGATCCTGTGCCCATCCAGGCAGATCTGCTGGAGGCACACCAGGCCCGCAGACCACCACTCTTCACTCTGCCTGTTATGGTCACCTCCACCCACTGTTCTCATACTGGGTCACACTGAGAAGAAGCTGACCAGCTTCCATTAGGAGGTAGAGAACAGAGGCTCCCTCTTGTTGGTGCCAGCACCAGGGGACCTGCCCCAACCCATATCATCTCTGAACAAAGAAGATGGCTTCTAAAAACAGAGGCAGAATTTTGGGAGGAATTTCTTAAGCATATTAATGAAAGTACATTGAACCAAGAGTCTGACTGCAGGCAAAGCCCTAATATCTTTGCAATGTGAAATGAGACAGTGACATTAAAATTCTCACCCTCCCTACCAAGTAAGTCACTGCATATAAATGTGCTGCGAAAGCTGTAAAGCACTACACAGAAGTTTGGGGCAGTACCTAAATGAGCTCAGGAGTTGGAGACCAGGCTGTGTAACATAACAAGTGAATTGTTATGAATTAATGTAAAGAGATTTTTTTTACATCCTTCGATATTAGGAAGAGAAGGAAATACAAGAATGGCACAGTTATTTATAGGGTGAATAGAAAATTATGAATTTTTCACATTTTTAAGGTAGAAAGTGGAATATAACAGATTTTTAATTGCCTGGGAGTATACTTCAATGAGCCCTACCCAGCAGCGGGTTTGTGGTAGAAGGTCTCCCCCAAGTGGCTGAAAAGCAAAGTACACCTGAGCCACTCTGCTATGCGGTCTTGCTTTCGGAAAGAGGTTCTCACCAATGGAAAGGCGAACTGACCCCTCTTTACAGGATGGGGCTTATTCCCCACACATTAGGGGAAAGCCTAGGTCTAGACTAATTTGACCATTTTAATGTTTCATTTTAAAGAAGGTGCTTTTTTTTTTTTTTTGAGACGGAGTCTCCCTCTTGTTGCCAAGGCTGGCGAGCAGTGACGTGATCTCGGTTCACTTCAACCTCTGACTCCCAGGTTCGAGTGATTCTCCTGCCTCAGTCTCCCGGGTAGCTGAGATTACAGGTGTGTGCCACCATACCTGTCCATTTTTTTTTTTTTTAATAGAGACAGGGTTTCATCATATTGGCCACGCTAGTCTTGAACTCCTAACCTCAAGTGATCTGCCTGCCTCGGCCTCCTAAATTTAGTGCTGGGATTACAGGCATAAGCCACAGCGCCTGGCCAAGGCCCACGTTTCTAACCTTGATATCTCATGATATCTGCAGAGTCACCAATTCTAACCAAACTCATCCACTTCCTCTTACTAAATTATTTATCCCTGTTAGGGACCTTATTTCTGGTCAAGGAAATAAATTCTTTGGTTCACCTAAGATAAAATCCTCGAAGTTGCCTTTGATTCATCATGCCACTTCATTCTTGTGCTAGGCATTTGCCAAAACCCATCGGATTTTCCCTGTTTCAAATGCAAACTAGTAGAACTGCCTTTTCCTGGCCGTCCTCATGCCAAGCTCTCCAAACCATCCCAGACATTGCTTCTACCTAACACTCATCTAATAATACTCTTTCCATTTGCTTAACTGTTCTAAAGTCTTCAAAGTCTTACTCTGGTCATCTGTGTCAAGTACCAGCCTCTCCTGCCTCTTACAGCCACTACTCCCTTGCACAGTTACCCCTGACTGCATTGATTTCTCACTCTATCTTGAAATGAACTATCCACCACACTGGAGCTGGTGTTGTCCTCTCTATTTAACATTCCACACTCCCTTTGGACACCAAATACCTTCATTCACACTGTCCCTCTATCCTCTTTTACTAAGCATAGATAGTTGAAATGTTTCAGAAAGCAATTAGAGGGCTGGTTGCGGTGGCTCACGCCTATAATCCCAGCACTTTGAGAGGCTGAGGCCAGGGGTTCACTTGAGGCCAGGAGCTCCAGACCAGCCTGGCCAATATGCTAAAAAACCCCATCTCTACTAAAAATACAAAAGTTAAATTAGACAGGCATAGTGGCACATCCCTGTGGTCCCAGCTACTCAGGAGGCTGAGGCATGAGAATCGCTTGAACCCAGGAGGCAAATGTTGCAGTGAGCTGAGATCATGCCACTTCACTCCAGTCTGGGTGACAGAGCAAGGCTCTGTCTCAATTAAAAAAAAAAAAAGCTGGGCATGGTGGTGGGTGCCTGTAGTCCCAGCTACTTGGGTGGCTGAGGCAGGAGAACTGCTTGAGCCTGGGAGGCAGAGGTTGCAGTGAGCCAAGAATCCACCACTTCACTCCAGCCTGGGGAACAGAGCAAGACTCTGTCTCAAAAAAAAAAAAAGAGAAATCAGGAACTTAAAATTTTGAAAATAATTCTAGGAAGCATTTGGAATTACTCTGCTAGCTAATTACGGGATCCGCAATACCAAATGATTGGATGGCAAATTGATACATACTGTGTTTACTTCACATTTTGCACCTTGTTCTAAAAAACAGCAGTGATCTTCCCCGAGCCTAGCCTGGCCACAATCTCATGTAACCACATCCAACAGCCACATTCAGAACAACTTAAATGTTACCTTTTCGCTTGGGTCCCATTCCAGCTTGGTTGTGGAAACTAATGAAGCACAGACAATCACTAAAAAAGGTTAAGGAAACTACAGCACAAAACAGTTCCTTTAATGTTAAAACGAGATTGTTCTCCTAATGATAAAATCATTATACAGTGTTAAAATGTTAATACCAACATTTCTACAGTCCAGCCAGTTACATTAGGTTCTTATAAACTCGAATTTTAAATTCAATTATGAGAGTTAAATTACAACATGGAAATAGCTTTGCAATACTTTTCCAGTTTGTATAGCAACATTTATTAAAATTTGCGGCTACATGTTGTACAACCTGGCATGTTTCTGGATTTTCCCACTTTAACTTAGCTAAACAGCTAGTTAAAATTTTGAAAATAATTTTACAATTTGGAATTTGGTCAAAATGACTAATGTAGCAGTCTAAAATGGCTCGTTTTGAGTACTTCCCACCCCAAAATACTATTTTCTCTCTCTTTTTTTTTTTTGAGCTAGTGTCTTGCTCTGTCACCCTGGCTGGAGTGCAATTGTGTGATCTCAGCTCACTGCAATCTCTGCCTCCTGCATTCAAGAGGTCCTGCCTCAGCCTCCATAGTAGTTGGGATTACAGGTGCCCACCACCATGCCTGGCTAATTTTTTGTATTTTTAGTAGAGACAGGGTTTCACCATGGTGGTCAGGCCGGTCTTGAACTCCTGACCTCCGGAGATCCAATGCCTCAGCCTCCCAAAGTCCTGGAATTACAGGGGTAAGCCACCATGCCTGATCTAAAATACTATTTTCAAGGTAACAGCTTTCAAGAAAATTATAAAATTCCAAAGTGCCAGGACTCATATACAAAAACAAGCTACAGAAACTCAAACTATTAGGTTTAATAAACAGACTTTTGTTGGGTAATTGGGTATAAGGTGATCCCTTCCTTCCTGGCCTAAGAGCTGGCAAATCAAAGCGATTCACCCTGTATCAGACTTCAGGGATGAATGACAAACCCCTATGGTCCAGCCTAATAATACCAAGGGCTGAGGCTCCTCTCCTCCACGGGCAATGCTTTCTGCACAAAGCCAGTGATAACCACTTTGACTGACTTAGAATGCAAAAGAGAAAGCTAGAGAGAAATAGGATGCTCTAAAATGTCTACAAAATATTAGAAATTCGAAGTATTAATTAAGCCAAGCAAAGTTTAGAGCCTCCTCTGAATTCAGTCAGTGACACCTCTCTTAACCTGCACCCCACGTGAAACCGTGCAGAGTTTAACACTTCTGATTCTCAAAATAAAAAGAAGTAGAGAGCACAGAAGTTTCTCTGATCATTTCATTACCACGCTTCTGTCTCTGATAGTTTAAAAGCCTCTTAATTCTTTCGTTTATTTGTTCTTAGTTCCATCTTCAGTTCACCAGGTACCATTCTGGTCAAGCGAGTGGGAGGAGGGAAAACTTGGTCTCAGCTCTCAGAAACATCACAACTTTGTTGGACCAGACCCAGGGAATGTACCATGCTAGAGAAAAAAGAACTGGATATGGCAATGACTCCAAGGGAAAATTATTAATTCAGAATGGAATGGGAAAAAGCTTCATTCAGTGAAACTTAATCTACATTGTGAACTTTAAGGAGCTCTCCAGAGCAGCACCATCCCACAGAAATATTATGTGTAATTTTAAATTTTCTAATATTATAAGTAATTAATTCACTTATTTATTTTTATGGTGGAGTCTTGTTCTCTCACCCAGGCTGAAGTGCAGTGGCAGGTGCCTGCCACCATGCCCAGCTAATTTTTCTATTTTTAGTACAGATGGGGGTTTCACCATGTTGGCCAGGCTGGTCTCGAACTCCTAACCTCAAGTGATCCACCCATCTTAGCCTCCCAAAATGCTGGAATTACAGGCATGAGCCACCGTGCCTGGCCTATTTAAAGATGCTTTCAATTCTTTGCAATGAAATATAAATAACACACTAACATTTAAGACAGGAGACCTTTTCATATAGATGAATTCATTCAAGTTAATCTGATATAGGGTCATAATCCCTCTCTGTCTGGGGCTGCTTCCGAATGGCATGACTCCTAATAAGAACTTCCTAGAGGCCAGGTGCGGTGGTTCACGCTGGTAATCTCAGCACTTTGGGAGGCCAAGGCAGGTGGATCACTTGAGGTCAGGAGTTTGAGAGCAGCCTGGCCAACATAGAGAAACCCTGTCTCTACTAAAAATACAAAACTTGCCGGGTATGGTGGCAGGTGCCTGTAATCCAAGCTACTTGGGAGACTGAGGCAGGAGAATTGCTTGAACCCGGGAGGTGGAGGCTGCGGTGAGCTGAGATCATGCTATTGCACTCCAGCCTAGGCAACAAGAGCGAAACTTCGTCTAAAAAAAAGACCTTCCTAGAAATGAGCATTATGAATAAGTGAAACTCTGAGGCCTGAAATGCTGACTTTGATAAAACACTCTGACTTTGATATCTGGGGATCTGTTTCCAAAGTTGGAAGCAAGGAAGGTTTCCTGCATGGAGAAACTTTACCTGTAACACTACAACCACTGTTATAAATTTTACAGCTAACACAAGATTCAAATGTGAAGGAGATACATTCAAAGAGAAAGTGTGCCTTTAATCTATAAGCAGAACAAGGAATTTGAGAAGCAACTGTCTTAGGAACAAGGGTATATATTTTGGTGGTAAATGTCTCAGTTCTAGGATTCGGCTACTCTGTGCTTAGAAATTTTGTAATTAAAAATGTCCTTGCCTAAGATGGAAGAAAAACCAAAATCATTCTTAGACTTCACATTTTGTAGTTTCTATTTTAGAAAAGAAACACAAAGCTTAATATTTAGAAGCAAGTGATGTGTTTTCACTCAGTCTTGCTCACTTTATACCGTAATTCAACCCAGACTAACAAAATTGCTGCTAACGCAGTTCCGATTTTCCTACCATCTGACATTAGTCATCACTTTTTTAATGACCCTGCAGCTTTCTCTGATATGACTACAGATGGTATTTTGAAAGATGGGGAATTCTGCATCTCTTTAAGACCACAGCTGTTTTTTCCTCTTTGTTAAATATTTCATTAGAGAAGAGAAAAAGGAAAAGAAGGAAAAGGCTTTCATTTCCTCTAAATCGGAATCTACAAGCATTCTAAATTTATATTTTCATGTCTTTTCACATGGCTGAGTTAGAAAATAAAATGAATTTCATTTTGAAAATGAAATTAGTGACTTAAAAGAAAAGGCTAAATGTATTTTAACTTACTCAGTAATAAGTGACCTAGAGCTTTTTAAAAATCTCTTCACATGGACGAGTAAATCAAACTGTCTTGCCACCTACGTCCAGGGAGGGGCAAAGTTTAGCCTTGAGGCACTTCATGGGGCTATTCCTTTGAGTACAGTATCAATATTTGGTGTCTTTAGCCAAGCACTACAATGAAAAATAAATATTTTCACATGGTTCATGAAACTGGCCCTGTGAGAAGGAAGTAAACAGACTGAAGTGTTCTTACCTTTCCCATCTTCTGTCACACCATTCTTTCCCCCAAAGAGACTTTCGATCTAACCAATGCTGAGACATTTTCTTATGATCTACGCTTTTATCCCAATTGTTTTTCTGAAAAATGTGGAAACTTGGTTGTTATCTTTTTTTTTTTTTTCAGCTGGGGGAAAGAAAAGTGTCAAGCTTTGTTGAGACACTGTGACAAAGATTCTTTGCTTGGCCAAACTTCAGTCAAGCTCCTAACACTTCTCCTAGGTCCATGTGTGCACTTCCTTCTAAGATCCAGTTTTAACAAAGAACCCTGGCTAAGTCAGTTTAGCAAGGACCTCACATCTTAATATCTGATCACCCTTGGTATCTGATTGGGTTCCTCCTCCTCCACCCTTCCCAGGTGATGTCTGATCACATGGCCAGTACTCAGAAAGAATCCTGTTAGGTTGGTTTGGCCCAAATTCCCCTCATCCTTGAGGTTTCCTTTTAGTACTTTTCCATCCACTGACCTCATCCTACTCCTTGACTATAAATTCGCACTTGCCAATGCTGTATTCAGAGTTGAGCCCAATCTCTCACCCCAAGCATCAGACCCCATGGCAGTGGTCCCTATAAAGTCTTCATTATCTTTCTTTAACAAGTGTCATTGAATGCTTTATTTCTTTAACAAGCCACAAACGTGAAAAAGGATACTGAGGACGACAGCTGCGCAACAAACGGCAGAGATGATCATCCGTATATGGCACATCCAGAGACTGTTCCACTGTGGACACGATTCGTAAAAGATGATAGACTGCAGGAGCGTGTATATGGAACCGCAGACAAAAGCCAAAAGGGCACCAGCATCATGAACCACTGTCACATTTAACCCCTGGAGAAAAAGTCACCAAAGGTCATTACTCTGGGTGAGTCTGTCAATGCTGAGCCGCGAGCACTCACTCACTCTAGGCTGCTTTGAGCCATTGGTCAGCACAGATGCAGCACTCCTTGGAAAATGTGGCCAGTACCACATGACCACCAGAAGAAAAGCCTTCCAGGTGCTAGAATGAATGCTAAAAAGTTGGTTGCTCCACAGCGAACCTGGACTCATGGGACAAGGAAAGGAGGAGGTCTGCCTTAGAGGTGGGAGTGCTGAGGATGGTGGGCTTCAGAGCCTGGCACACCTGGATTAAAAGTCCTGACTCCACCATGAGGCTCTGTGACCTTAGTGCAAAACCTTGATTTCTGTATCTAAAAATGGGCATAATCATCCCCGTCTTGCATGTTTGCAATGAAGATTATAGGATACACATCATATAACATTTTCTTTTTTCTTTTTCTTTTTTTCTTTTTGAGTTTCACTTTTGTTGCCCAGGCTGGAGTGCAGTGACACAGTCTCTGCTCATTGCAACCTTTGCCACCCAGATTCAAGAGATTCTCCTGCCTCAGCCTCCCGAGTAGCTAGGATAGGATTGTAGGCATGTGCCACCATCCCAGCTGATTTTTGTATTTTTAGTAGAGAACTCTTGAACACAGGTGATCTGCTGGTCTTGACCTCCCAAAGTAGTGGGATTACAGGCATGAGCCACTGCGCCAGGCCCATATAAAAATTTTGTATAAAAGTATATGACGCAAAAAATGTAATAATGGGATCATATATTTATAATTTGAATAATTTTGAGCTGTCAAAATGTCTTTGTAATTTTCACAACCTACTCATTGTTTGAGGATGTTATCTACTAAACCGAAAACATTCATTCCATATCTACTACATATACATCAGCAACAGTATAATTGTAAGCCCAACTTTGTAAAATTCATAATAATTGAGGGGTGGAATTTTCTAATAACATGCAGCATATAAATGTGCAGATTTTATGTGTGGTGACAAAATCATTTTTCAGCTTGCAAAATGCAACTGCAATACTACGTTTTTCACTTAAGCAATTTCTTTACCTCTACGTTGGTGCTTTCTAAAATGAATGTGAATCCCATCTTTTATGACTTTCACTTGCCTTTTTCATTACAGAAATTTTCATTTGATGTAATCAATAAACTTCAGTATGATATGATTGAAAAAATAATAATAAAGTACATGACTCATTCCATGATGGTGCCAAGGGTGGTTTGGGGATTTTAGGCTCCCTGCTCCCTGATAATCCCTACTCATTCCTCCCAACGCACCCCAAATGAACACACCATCTAAGTAAAACCACTGCTTTTGCCATGCAAAAGCACTTTCTTCTTGTTCTTTTTTTCTTTTTTTTTTTTTTTTTTTTTTTTTTTGCTTTTTGGGTGTTTTTTTGAGACAGGATCTCACTCTGTTGCCCTGGTGGGAGTGCAGTGGCATGATCATAGCTCACTGCAGCCTTGAACTCCTGGGCTCAAGGAATCCTTTCACCTCAGCCTCTCAAGTGGCTGGGACTACAGGCACATGCTACCATGCCCAGTTCTGGCTAATTTTCTTTTTCAAAGGCACCTTCTAAACAAGTTCCCTGTCCCCGACCATCCTGTAACCAGCCATTTCAACTAGAAGGCAGCCCCTATGCCACTCTAGCAAAAAGTCAGAGCAGACCCTGTATACACTCAGAATAACCAACCAGGCACCTTACCTTCGGCTCCTTTCTCTCTCTCTTTTTCTTTTCTTGTCTTTTTTTTTTTTTATCTCACTCTGTTGCCCAGGCTGGAATGCAATGGCAAAATCTTGGCTCATTGCAACCTCCATCTCCTCCTCCAAGCAATTCTTTTGCCCCAGCCTCCAGAATACCTGGGATTATATGCATGCACCACCATGCTCAGCTTTTTCTATTTTCATAGAGACAAGATTTCTCCATGTTGGCCAGGCTGGTCTCCAACTTCTGACCTCAGGTGATCTACCCGCCTCAGCCTTCAAAAGTGTAGGGATTATAGGCATGAGCCTCCATGCCCAGCCTCAGCTCCTTCAAATGTGCACTGGGCACCATCCTTCCAGTAGAAGAGCATTTAGATGGAACCACTGGGTCTTGGCTTAAATCTGAAAATGCAAGTTTTGCTAAGGGTAAGTCAAAGTGCTGTGCAGGAGAGCCTGGTTTTGGCCACAGCACCCCTTGGCCCCAGCTCACCATGAACATGCTCTTCCCCCAGCTTTCCTCTGACCTAGGCAACCTTGGCTCCCCCTAGCACCACAGTGTTTGCCATCCAGACAGTTCAGCCTCAACCTGGAGCACAAATGAACTGATATTAAATTGCCATTCTCCACATAAGAAAGGAAGATGCAGAAAAAAGACCTTTTAACTTATTTCTAAGGAAATATATTTTCAAGTATCAAACCTAGCAATAGGGGAGAAATTCATTACATGATTTCTGTTATATTCAAATATGACCACATGGACACTCTGCAACACATCGTATAGTTTCTGTATACCTAAGATACCTAGCATGGGCCAGATGCAGTAGCTCAAGCCTGTAATCCCAGCACTTTGGGAGACCAAGGCAGGAAGACTGCTTGAGTTCAGGAGTTTGAGAGCAGCTTGGGCAACATAGCAAGTACTCATCTCCACTAAAATTTTAAAAATCATGGCTGGGCATGGTGGCTAATGCTTGTAATCCCAGCACTTTCAGAGGCCAACACATGTGGATTATGAGGTCAGGAGTTTGAGACCAGCCTGGGAAACATGGTGAAACCCCATCTCTGCTAAAAATACAAAAATTAGCCAGGCATGGTGGCACATGGCTGTAATCCCAGCTACTCAGAGGGCTGAGGCAGGAGAATGGCTAGAACCCGGGAAATGAAGACTGCAGTGAGCCAAGATTGTGCCACTGCTCTCCAGTCTGGGCAACAGAGCGAGACTCCGTCTCAAATAAATAAATCAGCTGGGCATGAAGGTGCATGCCTGTAGTCCCAGCTACGTGGAAGGCTGAGGTGGGAGAATCACTCAAGTTCGGGAGACAAAGTCTGCAGTGAGCCATGATGGCACCACTGTACTTTAACCTGGGCAACAGAGTGAGAGACACTCGCTCAAAAAATATAATAAAAAATAAATTAAACACAGTGGCTCATGCCTGCTATGTTATCACTTTGGGAGGCTGAGGCAGCAATATCACTTGAGCTCAGGAGTTCAAGACCAACCTGGGCAACATGGCAAGACAGTCTCTACTAAAAATATATAAATTCGCTGGCTGTGGTGGCATGCACCTGTAGTTTCAGCTACTCAGGAGGCTAAGGTGGGAGGATTGCTCGAGCCCACAAGGCAGAGATGCAGTGAGCCATGATCGCACCATGGCACTCCAGCCTGGGCAACAGATCAAGACGCTGTCTCAGAAAATAAAGGTAAAAATACAAATACAGGTCGGGCGCGGTGGCTTACGCCTGTAATCCCAGCACTTTGAGAGGCTGAGGCGGGAGGATCACGAGGTCAAGAGATCGAGACCATCCTGGTCAACAAGGTGAAACCCCGTCTCTACTAAAAATACCAAAATTAGCTGGGCATGGTGGCGCACACCTATAGTCCCAGCTACTCAAGAGGCGGAGGCAGAAGAATTGCTTGAATCCAAGAGGTGGAGGTTGTGGTGAGCTGAGATTGCGCCACTGCACTCCAGCCTGGGTAACAAGAGCGAAACTCCAACTCAAAAAAAAAAAATACAAATACAAATACAAATAAATAATAAGATTCCTAGCATGGGCATATAGATTCAGGTAAGTTATATATGAAAAATAAAATAGGACAGGGCATGGTGGCTTGTGTTTTCAATCCAACACTTTGGGAGGCAGATACGGGAGGATCACATGAGGCCAAGAGTTTAAGACCAGCCTCAGCCCTCTCTCACCACTCCTATTCAATATCATACTGGAAGTTCTAGCCAGAACAATCAGGCAAGAAAAAAAATAAAGGGTATTCAAATAGGAAAGAAGGAAGTCAAATTGTCTCTATTTGCAGACAACATAATTGTATATCTAGAAGACCCCATCGTCTCAGCCCCAAATCCCCTGAAACTGATAAGCAACTTCAGCAAAGTCTCAGGATACAAAGTCAAGGTGCAAAAATCACAAGCATTCCTATACACCAATAACAGACTTAAAGAGAGCCAAATCAATAATGAACTGCCATTCACAATTGCTACAAAGAGAATAAAATACCTAGGAATACAACTAACAAGGAACATAAAGGACCTCTTCAAGAAGAACTACAAACCACTGCTCAACAAAATAAGAGAGGATACAAACAGATGGAGAAACATTCCATGTTCATGGTTAGGAAGAATCAATATCATGAAAATGGCCATACTGCCCAAAGTAATTTACAGATTCAACACTATCCCCATCAAGCTACCAATGACCTTCTTCACAGAACTGGAAAAAACCACCTTAAACTTCATATAGAACCAAAAGAGAGCACGCATAGCCAAGTCAATTCTAAGCAAAAAGAACAAAGTGGAAGGCATCACACTACTGGACTTCAAACTATACTACAAGGCTACAGTAATCAAAACAGCATGGTATTGGTACCAAAACAGAGAGACAGAACAATGGAACAGAACAGAGGCCTCAGAGAATACACAACATATCTACAACCATCCAATCTTTGACAAACCTGACAAGAACAAGCAATGGGGAAAGGATTCCCTGTTTAATAAATGGTGCTGGGAAAACTGGCTAGCCATGTGCAGAAAGCAGAAACTGGACCCCTTCCTGACACCTTACACTAAACTTAACTCCAGATGGATTCAAGACGTAAACATAAGACCTAACACCATAAAAACCCTAGAAGACAATCTAGGCAAAATCATTCAGGACATAGGAGTAGGCAAGGACTTCATGACCAAAACACTAAAAGCATTGGTAACAAAAGCCAAAATAGACAAATGGGACCTAATCAAACTCCTCAGCTTCTGCACGGCAAAAGAAACCGTTAT